AATCAAGAGGTACAAGGCACGATTGGTAGCTCGTGGTTTCTCTCAATAGTATGAACTAGACTATGATGAAACATTTAGTCCAGTGGCGAAACTTACAACCGTACGAGTCCTACTTGCACTTGCAACCAACAAAGACTGGAATTTATGGTAGATGAATGTGAAGAATGCTTTTCTTCATGGAGAGCTAGATCGAGAGATCTACATGACCCAACCAATGGGTTTTCAGAGTCAAGATAATCTTGAATATGTGTGTAAGTTGCAAAAAGCACTCTACGGATTGAAACAAGCACCTAGGGCGTGGTATGGTAAGATTGCTGAATTTCTAACGAAAAGTGGCTATTAAGTAACACCTACATATTCTAGCTTGTTCGTCAAAGTCAATGAAGGTAAGCTAGCTATCGTGCTAGTGTACATGGATGCCTTAATCATAACCGGTGATGATGAGGCATAAATTCTTTAGACGAAGGAGAATTTATTAGTTCGTTTCCAGATGAAGGAACTTGGACAACTTAAGCACTTCCTTGGTCTCGAAGTTGATCGCACACATGAAGGAATATTTCCGTGTCAACAGAAATATGCTAAAGATTTGTTGAAGAGGTTTGGAATGCTCGAATGCAAGTTAACTTCAAAGCCAATAGAACCAAATGTCAAAATGTGTGCACATGAAGGAAAATATTTGGAAGATGCAACAATGTATCGACAATTGGTAGGTAGTCTGATCTACTTAACCTTGACCCGACCTGACATTTCTTATGCAGTTGGTGTGATGAGTCGGTATATGCAAAATCCAAAGAAGCCTCACTTGGAAGCAATTCGACGAATACTGAGATATGTGAAGAGTACAATTGACTATGATCTTTTGTACAAGAAAGGTGAAGACTACAAGTTAGTTGGTTATTGTGATGCTGATTATGCAGGAGATCATGACACCAGGAGATCAACAACTGGGTATGTGTTTAAGCTTGGCTCCGGAACAATTTCTTGGTGTAGCAAGAGACAACCAATGGTATCATTGTCAACCACTGAAGCTGAGTATCGAGCAGCAGCAATTGCAGCTCAAGAGAGTACATGGTTGATTCAATTGATGAATAATCTACATCAACCAGTAGATTATGCAATTCCTTTATATTGTGACAACCAATCGACAATTTGGCTGGCAGAGAATCCTGTTTTTCATGCAAGAACTAAACATGTGGAAATACATTACCACTTTGTTAGGGAAAAAGTTTTGCAAGAAAAGATTGAGATGAGACAAATCAAGACAGATGAGCAAATTGCTGACTTGTTTACAAAAAGCTTGAGTGTTGGTAATGTATCGACAATTGGTAGGTAGTCTGATCTACTTAACCTTGACCCGACCTGACATTTCTTATGCAGTTGGTGTGATGAGTCGGTATATGCAAAATCCAAAGAAGCCTCACTTGGAAGCAATTCGACGAATACTGAGATATGTGAAGAGTACAATTGACTATGATCTTTTGTACAAGAAAGGTGAAGACTACAAGTTAGTTGGTTATTGTGATGCTGATTATGCAGGAGATCATGACACCAGGAGATCAACAACTGGGTATGTGTTTAAGCTTGGCTCCGGAACAATTTCTTGGTGTAGCAAGAGACAACCAACGGTATCATTGTCAACCACTGAAGCTGAGTATCGAGCAGCAGCAATTGCAGCTCAAGAGAGTACATGGTTGATTCAATTGATGAATAATCTACATCAACCAGTAGATTATGCAATTCCTTTATATTGTGACAACCAATCGACAATTTGGCTGGCAGAGAATCCTGTTTTTCATGCAAGAACTAAACATGTGGAAACATTACCACTTTGTTAGGGAAAAAAGTTTTGCAAGAAAAGATTGAGATGAGACAAATCAAGACAGATGAGCAAATTGCTGACTTGTTTACAAAAAGCTTGAGTGTTGGAAAGTTTGAACATTTCCGTCTTCAACATGACGTGATTCAAAGAATGGAAGCTAACATTGAGGGGGAGTGTTGAAAATTCAATATTAGCCTAAATAAGTTCACAACTAAATTAATTTGATGTCATTGCTTACATCAATTTAGTTAGGTGAAAATTAAGTATTTTTCTCATGTTTTAATTTCAATGGTTTAGATTATTTAGTGATTATTTTAATGGGTGATTTAGATTGTTTCTTGTAATTTATAAATACCCTACTTGTATTTGAGTTTTTTCATCCAACAATCAAAGCTTAATTATAAGCATTTGAAAGCTTTGTTAAGAGTTCTTCCCTTTTACAATTTTGTGAGAATATTCTAAAGAGAGTTTTTCTTCTTCTCGATTAATTAGAGTTTTTAATCTATTTTGATTCAACAATCAACTTCGAAGAATTCTCGGTGTTCACCAATAATTTCTGAGGTACAATTCCTCAGGATTTCGGGAAGAATAGTCCTGTGCTTAGATATGTGAGCTTATCCAACAACAGCTTTTTTTTGGGGAATTACCTCCCGAACTGTGTGCTGGTTTTGCTCTTTGAAACTTCACAGCCAATGGAAACAACTTCACCGGGTCGTTGCCAGCCTGCTTGAGGAACTGTACAATGTTAAGAAGAGTCCGGTTTGATGGGAACCGATTTACGTGTAACATCACCAATGCATTCAGAGTTCATCCTGAGCTTGACTATATTTCTCTTAGCGACAATCAATTCACTGGTGAAATCTCGCCTGGGTGGGGTGGATGTCAAAACCTCACCAATCTAAAAGTGGATAGAAACATTATTTCTGGTAGAATCCCTGCTGAGGTCGGGAAGTTGAGTCAGTTGCGAGTTTTAGACCTTGGGGCTAATGACTTGAGTGGAAATATTCCATTGGAACTGGGAAATCTGAGCTTGTTGTTCAACCTTAATTTGAGGCAGAACCATCTCACAGGTAACCTCCCTCGGTTTGTTGGCAACTTGGTAAGGTTACAGTTCATTGATCTTTCGGGAAACCAATTGATAGGCGAAATACCAGTGGAACTTGACAACTGCGAGAAACTATTGAGCTTGAACTTGAGTCACAACAACTTATCTGGTGAAATTTCAAGTGAGCTTGGCAGCTTATCTGCTTTGCATATTTTGCTGGATCTCAGCAGCAATTCCCTCTGAGGCTCAATACCTCAAGATTTAAGCAAGCTTGTATCATTGGAGAACATAAACGTTTCACACAATGATATCTCTGGCAGAATCCCAAATTCATTGTCCTCTATGATTAGTCTCCAAAAATTCGATTTCTCGTACAATGAGTCAACAGGACCAATTCCGAGCGACGGTGTATTCGAAAAAGCTTCTGGAAATGCTTTTGCTGGAAATCCAGGTTTGTGTGGAGATGTCGATGGATTAACACCTTGCAGTTTAAGTCCCATAAACAAAAAGTCCAACAACAGGAGGGTTCTTCTTATAGCTATCCTTGTTCCCATCTGTGGCATACTAACTCCAGCGCTGATTGTTGCTGGAGTGATTGTGCTTTGCCGTCGACAAAACCAAACGCTTGAGGAAGAGATTAAAGTTAGAAAAACGACCGAGTTTTCTGAGTCTAGCATTTGGGGAAGAGGAAAATTTACACCTGGTGACATTGAAAGAGCCACTGAGGGGTTTAATGAAAAGTACTTGATTGGTAAAGGGGGATTTGGAAGTGTTTACAGAGCAGAATTGCCCTCAGGCCAAGTAGTTGCAGTTAAAAAACTCAATTTTGCAGACTCCGCCGATATTCAGCTGACAAATTACAAGAGTTTCAGAATGAGATCCAAATGTTAACCGAAGTTGGGCATCGTAATATCATAAAGTTGCACGGTATTGCGCTAGAGGAAGTGGCATATACTCGGTGTATGAGTATGTGAAAAGAGGTAGCCCGGGAAGCGTATTGTATGAAGCACAAAATGGAGTGGAGCTAGAATGGGATACAAGAGTGAAAATTGTGCAAGGATTGGCTCATGCAGTTGCTTACTTGCATCACGATTGCTCTTCTCCGATTATACACGGAGACATATCTTTGAACAACTCTCTGCTCGAGGAAGGATGCGAGCCGAGACTCTCGGATTTCGGCACTGCAAGGTTGTTGAATCCTAACTTGATCGTTATTATATTGATATTATCCCCCACGCCACTTTGTTACTATTAATTAAAAAAGTATAAAAAGCAAATTTTTTAAACATTATCTTCTATTAAAATTAAATAATTTAGATCTTATCTCGCTCTCTTTGTAAATAAAGTAATATTTATATTTTTATTTAATTAATGTGATATATTTATTTTAATAAAATATTAAATGCTATATTTATAATTTAAAAACATTTTATATAATATTTATATTTTAAAATGTTTATTGTGATGTTTATATTTCTAAAATATTTATTTTAATATTTATGTTTTTAAAATATTTAATCTGATATTTAATTTTTTAATTTTATATATTATTATAATATTTTAACAATATTTATAAATATCGTACTGAAGCTATTATTAATATAAATATGATATTAAATATCTGATTAAAAAAAATCATTAAGTCGTTTTCATAGTTAAATAAAGTGTTGTTTTTTTAGAAATGTTAGATTTGAGTAGTTGCAAGGTGTGTAATTTATTAATGATTATATATATATATTACCTTATAATCATATAAAAATATAAATAAAAACATATGATAAAAATATAAATAAAAAATAATATTATTGCAAATACAATAATAGATAATATTTATTTATTTATTTTTCACCCTAAAATATATAAAATAAACTTGTTTATATTGATCAAACATTGATTTCGACTGGATGGTAATGCATGAGATCTCTTCGTATATATGATTTTGATTTTTTTAATTATATGACAAGATCGGAAGCCTATTAATGAATAATTAATGCCTAGATTTCAGGAAAAGGAAACTATATAAAGATGTTCACATTGGAGGCTCTTTTAAGCATGGGATAAATCAGTAGATTGGACTATGTGGATAAAAAAATCCTAATATTTCTAGCATATGATATTCTACAATGGCTTGAAATATCACCTCTTAGGATCAAGGCCAGCAGAAGTAAATGCTGTATCCACGAGGCTTTCGAGAACCAAGGGTTTATTGAAGAAGTATCCTCCATACTTCACGATTTCCTCCAGAAAATGCACGTCTAAGACAAACTATTTAGCAACAAGATTTGGCAGGTCAATCAGCTAGTAATGGTGCATATTTTAAAAATATAATGAAGTTGTCTACATGAAAACTATTCAAGGCTCTCCAAAATATTTATCTTGTGCCTGGATAGATGCGGTCCTAAGGCAGGTAAGAAACTAAAAAAATGTTACAAAGAAATTAAACCATGTTTACCAGCTTGGGCTGTATGCCACAAGACTGTTAATTTTAGTTATTCATTTACCGAATAGACACATGTTCTTACAAGTCTCAAAATCTCAATAAGTATAACTTATTCAGGATTCTATGACTGATCCATAACTTGAAAATTTAATTCGTTAAATATCTACACTCAATAATATCTTTTGTCGTTGAGGGTAGGATATAAAACTATGTAGTGCATCTCTATATTACTTGAACTTGGATATGGGTTTCGGTTGCATGTATGTGTCTACTGTCTAACACAGGTATTTTCAATGTTTTCGAAGTTTTTTTCATGTATTTGGAGATCATATCACAACACCCATACTCATATATGCACTAAATACGGATGTTGGACATGGATATTTCAAGAAAATGGAAGATTTCGAGCCACATAGGCAAATGGTAGTAGGAGTGTTCAAAACCTGAGGTTTCAAGAGGAAATGGGTTTTTATGTTCAATTAGCAGAAAAAGATACCTTTTAATATATCCAACAAATTGAAGAAGGAAACATGAGTAATTTGAAGGTTAACTATTCTTTGCGTACTGTAGATTGGTGAGATAAATGAACCAAATGTTTGTCACTAGGTAAAGGTGCCAAAAATGTTGTGTCTCATACTACAATAAAAAAATAATCTGTATAAACAATAGAAACTGATGCAGATGGTGGTGTAACAAAGTTCATTTCAAGGAATTTCCGGCACTAGAATGAAAATACCTGACTGATTATGTCAGAAAGCTGGACAGGTGAATTCCTATTTCTCCAAATCTCCTTGTTGTTTACCACCCAAGAGAATATAGCCTCTATCAAATCCCTTAATAGCTCCATCAACCAATCCTCTTCAAAGACATTGTCTTCGTCAATTTTATCAACTCTTCTTAGTTCAAAAAATAGAACCTGTTTATATAGTAAACCAAAATGAAAACAATAGGAAACAAACTAGAAACCGAGTCCTAAATGGTCTCATTGGAGAAAAGTAACATCTATTGCATTCAAATTTTTGTTTTTACTTCTCTCTTTTCACAAGTTTTTGAATCATTTTCGCCATCTTTGGGAATGGACGATGCCAAAAAAAATAAGAACAGCCCAAATCCAACAAATATCTGTACCATCATAATTGCGACGGTACCATCAGAAGTCTAGAACAAAGTTGGAACCTGAAACAAGTACCGAGAAGGCAGAATGTGGTTATGCACTTCTGTCTGTGGTTATACAGTAATGTTTCTCCTCCTTTCAATTCTTTTCCATGTGAAGAGGACCTTTATACCAACATTTTGGCATGAGACGAGAAATAATTATACGATGCTCTCAAAGGGATTATACCAGTTTCATAAAACATATAAATTCATGTTTGTCACATCTTATTAAGAAGAAGCATAGTTACCTGAAAAGCAACAGAGGGCATTGCACCTTGAAATTTGCTAGATTGTGGGCTATCATTGCAAGTTTGTAGCATAAGTTTAGTGCTGGTTTCAGAGGACGTCATTCTATTTATAAATTGCTGGAAGAAACGAGCTTTGAGCTTAGCAGCAGCCTCTTGAATGAACAGTATACAACCATCAAGTTCCTTTTGTAGAAAATCAATTGAATTTTTCTTCCTTAGCTCAGAATGCAGGTAACCAGGTCCCCTTAAGAAACTTCTAACAATCTTGAAGAAGAAAAGTTGCAGTGTTGATAAATTAGCCAGCACAGAGAGTTGTTGCGGCAATGACTCTGCTAAAGTTCTTCTTGAACCTTTTTCAAAAACATGTGTTTCGAAGGTAATAGCTTTCTCAAGGATGGCTATATACTCTGTGAAGAGATTCATGAGTCCATTAAGGATAGAACCTTCCATTTGAATGGCAAGCAATGGGGTGACATCTGCTATGATAGCCTGAAAATGGGAAAAGTGTACGAGTAAAATTCAATCACACATATTGGTTAGTAAAAGAAAAAGATGAAGGCAGGAAGGTAGATAGATTTATAGGTATCATTGTCCAAGCAATGAAATTTATTGCAGTAAATTAATATGTTAAAGAGGTGGTTTTAAAAATGAAGCCATGGTTGGTTCGGCCCTAGATAAGAGATGGGGGAAGAACACAAGCTCATGGTTACTTGGCTGGTTTATGTTAAATATTTGCAGAAAAATTCAACTTGCCTGTAAAGAACCATACATAATAGGCATAAAAACTTACTCTTAGGACTTACAACCTAAAAAAGAGATAAAGCAAACCTGCAACAGAGTTATGAACTTCCGGCCACTGTTAGTGAGCAGACAGTATTCTGGATGTTCAGAGTTATGAACTTCCGGCCACTGTTAGTGAGCAGACAGTATTCTGGATGTTGCCCAGCAACCACATAATTGCCTTCACTTAAAATTCCCGAGATAAGATATCTACCCAAAACCCAGTCATCAGTTGCTGTGAACATACTGATAACTTTCTTAAAATGGTCTCTGTGTATCAGTAGAACCTCTTCCATACAAGAACGAATATGCTTGATCAAGTATGGCTTAAGGAATAGCCTCTGAGATTTTAACAAGGAACAACAAGACAATGAAAACTGCATGGCTTCCACAGCTTTTGATAACCCTTCGGTTACATCAGAACTGGACTTGACATATTTATTAAATGAATCAAGGAACAGTTTGGTTACTTCCCGAGCCCATTGACTAAGTTCTGAAGCACGGGGAGAAGTTTCTCCATATAGCATCATAAAGCTACTTGCTGCTTGAGAAATCATAGAAAACACAAACTTTGCAAGCCTCTTAACATAGAAACCATCTAAAAACGATTGTGAACACTGAAGATTATGCCTTCCAGTTGCAAGACGTGAATGGTAATACTTAAGCAACAATTGAGTTGCAAGATGAGTGTCACCAAGTCTACAGATCCCAATTAACACCTTTTGAAGTTCAGCAGCGGATATTCTCGGGTTTTCAGCCGAAAGTGTTAACTGTAAAGTAAGCATTGCCTTTTTCTCATAAATTGCAGAATTATACAACAGTAACAAATCTTCAGGAGAGTTGTCTTCAAATTGCATCCTTTGCAAATTTTCATCCTCCCTTTGTAAAATAGCTATTGCTTCATCTATCCTATTTTCGAACATGAGAACATCCAATGTTTCAGAAATACTATCGATATGAACTGCTAACTCCCTAGGTGGAGCTGGTTCAGCAAATTCAGATTCTTGAAGAATTGAATCAATTATCTCCTCTGATAAAACTTTTAAATGAATTCCATCCATAAGGTCTTTCACAAGCTTCTTTTGTGTTAAAACAAGTCCCTTTAACTGTGTCAATTCATTTTTCATGCACTTTACTTTATCAAATATTCTGCATGAAAACAATTAAATCAAACTTTAAAAAGTAGAATAGATTCAACTTTAAATCAATAAATAATTAAGCTTGACATTTGACACTGTAGTTGAAACCAAAAGAAAAATGAAAAAAATATATTGAAGAATATTACCTAACAAAGGATGAATAATTTGAAAAAATATTTCTGTGGAAATCTTCGTCTGATTCCGCCTTTAGCTCAAGAAGCTCTGAGCAAAGATGATTAATTCCCTAAAATCAAATAAAAACTCACCTAAATATTCAGAAATTAATCAACAAAAAAAGCAAGAACTAAAATTTATGCTTTTACCTTTGCGGTCATGGACTGGAGCTCGTTCTCATCGTCGAGGTCGCTGGAGACGGAGGACATGCCGCCAGAGGTGGTTTCAGAATCGGAAGCTTCCTCCATCGGCTGCCGGTTTTGGTCTCTGAACCGGGATCTGGTGGTAGTGGTTGAAGAGGGTTCCATGGAAATTGGTTTACGATTTCAATTCTAAATGGCGTGAAGAAGATAGAAGCCGTCTCGAAGACTGGTAGAAGTATGCAGCTTGGAGCTTTGTGACGTCGTTTTGTGGCCATTGCCGTCGATAGACGCGGAAGAATCAGCTTCGAATTCTTCACCGCTTTAAGCATTGTATGCCACTATCTTTTTCTCTGTTGTTTTTTGGCGCCCAGTATATAAACCGGCCTCAAACTGCTAATTGAACTCTTAATTTTAAACGCAAATCTAATACGTCGTTTTCAACAATAAAAAGAAGGCATTCTATCACTCAGATTTGACTTTATTTCTGTTTTTTATTTAACCATTCAACTTTATAAAATTCTATTTTAATTATTCAACTTTGAATATTAAATGATTTTTTATATCATGATTTATTTTATTAATATTCATAAAAAATTAGTTAATATTTTATTAATATTATTTTTATTTATTATTTAATTAAGTTCTCCGCTGATCACTCATTTCATCGTATATGGTATTCTTTTATTTAACTTTCCTGGATCCGTCAGTATTCACCTTGATCCAACCAATCGGTGGAGCTTTCCACACAGCAGATCCCACCTCGCGTCTCGCCCAAATGTTCCAAAGAATTGCCCTGAACAAAATATCCCACTCTTTACCTTCCTTGGCGAAGTAATTAACCTTCGTCAGATTAACATGAATCCATTTCTTGATCTCCATGGACAAGAATTCTTCAAGCTTTTCATCTTTAATCAGCGATGCCCACATAGGCATAATCATCGAGCACTTACGAAATAAGTGGTCCACACTTTCTAGGTCGTTATTGCAACAAGGGCAATTTCCGTTATTTGTGAAGTTCCGCTTTGATCTTTCAGCATTTGTCCTAATATCCCCCAGCTCAACAACCAAAGGAATATGTTAATTCGTTGAAGGCCTTTATAGTGATTAATAGCCTTCCACACAGGATCAATGGCTTCTGAATTCAGCTTTACCCGTACTTCATAGGCTGATTCAGGATCAATGGCATTTATAGTGAGCACCATCCCCGTATTTGTACTTCGCGCGCAAGAACCGAACCCACAGAGTTTCCTTTTGATTGATTAGATTAAAGGCTAATTTCATAATAAACGCTTCATTGAGAGATTCTAATTTCCTGAATCCCAAGCCCCCATACTCAAATCGGCTGACACATATTATCCCATCGAACAAACGATATGCCTCCACCACCTGAATTCTTACCCTAAACAAACGATCGAATTAAGCGTTCCAACTCCGAACAGATTTTCTTCGGCAGCACAGTAGTTTGCATTGTACAAGAAGGGATCGCTGAAATAACCGATTTGGCTAGAGTACACCCTGCGACGGAAAGAGTCTTCGCTTTCTAGCCACTCAACTTGTTTTGAACAATTTGCTGCAAATTTTGGTGCAGTTCAAAGTCCTAATTTGTTGTAAATTTGATTTTCAATTTTGGCAGTCGGCGGCAAAACCAAAATTAGGTAGCACTAAATTGTTGAAAAATTATAAAGAATAATTGTAATTTAGTCCATGTACTTTAGGGTATTTACAAGATTAATCCTTAAGCTTCAACTATAAATACCTTAACCTATTTAGCTTCAAAATCATCCTAAATCATCTCTTTCTCCCAATACTAAAGAGTTTAGAGAGTTTTCTTGTGAGTTATGAGTGTTTTGTAAACACCTATAAATTTTCTCTCTTTAGTAAAAAAATTTGCAGCAGTCCGGAGACGTATGTAAAATTGGCTGAACTCCGTTATCAATTTCGGGTAATATGTTTCCGCTTTTATTTCGCATTCTCACTAATCTGGTTATAGGGAAATTACTCGTTTATTTCCCAACAACTGGTATCAGAGCTTTTGATGGCGAATTTTGTCAGTTTTTCTACGAGGTTACTATTCACATAAATAGTGAATTTTGTTGTAACACCCCCAACCCGTACCCGACCCGGATACGAGTCTGAGGTGTCACATTGACTTCTCAAAACATTTACTTTTACAAAATACCCAAGATTCAGTTTGATATTTCTAATAAAACCATTTACTTTCTATGATATAAAACATATGGTTTTGCAAAACTGATCAGAGTGTATCTAATACAAATCTTTTAACTACATGCCAACTAGATTCTATATAACAAAATACATGTTATTCATTTATGTTCTGATATGACCTTCAGTAAGGAGAAACTAACCTGTCTTGCTCCTCTTAGCTTATCTTCCTGCTTTCCTGAACCTACGTGTGAAACACTCACACACTAAGTCATAGACTTAGTGAGACATATAAATACATATGTAAATTATCAAATGCATGTACATATCATGTAATACAACGTCATACTTGTATACATATTTTTTCATGTAACAATTACATACACACATACATGTCATCATTTATATTTTCTCACACTCTTATATGATTATCCTTTCTATCTCTTATGTCTTGTTCATGTGATCTCTTATTTTCATATTCTATATCTTATAACATGTTCTTACATCATCATATGACTAATTGATATTCATTCATATATATATATATATATATATATATATATATATATATATATATATATTAACATATATTCATGTACACACAAATGCCATAACCCATAACACACATTCTTTCCTGTAACACATACACACATTCACATATATCCTCATATAAAACATGTAACACATTTCTCATTACAACTCACATTTTATTGTTATCCTTTTTGGTTAGCCCATGCACACTACTGATAACTTAAGGTATGTCAGTATATAGATGTTGTGCACTATGCTGTCACCACAGCTCGTATAATTCCCACTAGGGACGCGTAGAATTTGTCCCGAAAGACCACGTAGATGTACCGAAGAACCACATATAACACATATATCCCGAAGGACCGCGTAGACCCTCGAATCTTGGCATGCCAACTATACCTATAGTTCTCATAACACGTCAACAACAACAACAAAACCCTATTTCTATATGAAAAGGGCATTATCTTTTACCTCATTACACATTCACATATTCATATCACATAGTTCTCTATCATATTTCATATGATCACATAGTCACATAGTTTACTTTCACGTAGCATTTTTCCATGAAATTCACATTATTCATCCTTTTCAAACATGGTCACATCACATAGTTCTTTATCTCATTTCATATAGTTCACATATATCTTTTTCTCATATGCATATAACATATTATTTCTTATCTTTTAACTTATATTACATATGTATGAAATCTTATGACTTATTATCAATATCTCATAGATCACTATCATACAATACATATCTCACTATCATACAATACATATCTCATAACATGTAATGCAACAAGGCATATTCACCTAGATCACAAACATAAAGATGTAATTACATTTAAACATATGCATAGACTCGAATTTCTCTGATCATCATATCACTACATGCTAACATCTGGGTACTCATATTACCTAATATCAGAATTAGACTTCTCGCAAGTCATAATTCCTTAACATAACTACACTTCATATCATGTACTCACCTGATCACCAATAACACTACCAAGCTCTTTCTCTTTCTTGCGTATCTTACTCTGACGGCCTATCCGAACTTTGCTTTCGACCGATGTCTACACAATCATGTATTAATACTTATCAGTATCCAATTGATATACTATAATCTATCAATTCTTAGTTTGAAAGAAAGATTTATTCCATTTCCCATTGAAGTGCATCGGTACATTCCACAGTGTATCGATGCATCCCTTAACATGTGCATCGATGCAACAAAAATAACATGCGAAGGAAAAGAAATCATTTTTTAGATTGGTGAATCTCTAGTGATAGGAGTTTCCATTTGAAGATCACAAAAGTAGAGACCCTACTTAGAGCAAGGAGCAATCTGAACGATGAATACCTATAGGATGAACATCAGTAATTTTGTATTTCTAACGAATCAATTAAACCAAAGAGTCAAATTTTTAACATAGCTTCGTATTTTTCAGGGTAAAGTATATAAATAGTTCCCAAACTTTTAGGGCGTTTGTATTTTGGTCAGCCAACTTTTAAAACTTATAATATAGTCATCGAACTTTTAGTTCGTTCTCAGTAATGTCACTGTCGTTACCTTTCATTAGTTAGGGCTGACGTGGACGTTACCTCCGTCAACTCATCATCATCTTCTCTTCTTCTTCAACAAAAAATTAATCAAATACAAAAATCATCTTCCGAATAAATGCGAGCCATCTCTACTTGTAAATTTTCTCACCAACTAATCACTCCCTAAAGAGACATTCGAGTTTCAGAAACTAAGATTTGTCTCAAATCATGTTGTCGTAACCGGTTTTCGCCCGGGCACGAAATTTTACTTGGTGGGAAAAGTGATGTGAATAAATGGTTTTTTATGAAATGTTTTGGGAGTCTCCATCGGCCTTTTGGGTCAGGTAGGTCGGATACCTAAAAATCATCTTTTAAAAGAGTTTTTAAGAAAACATCAGTTAAAAAATAAAATGGTCTGTGTTTTAACCAAAAATTCGTTCTTTTTAATAATAAAAAGGGATTCGTGGTCGATTACGTTTGAGGAAGGATTAGCACCCCTACAACGCCAAAAATTGGTCTCTTTTGATTATAAATTGTCTCTAATAATAGAATTTAAGAATTCGAATATGAATTTAATTTACAATCGTGTTATTTCAAATTTAATATGATATTTCTAAGGAAAAATATTATATATATATATATATTTAGGGTTTTGTAAATAGGACATTTATTTATCTAAAAAAATCAGAAAATGACATCTAGTTGCTTTAAGACTGCCCTTTCTTTAATATTAATAAATAAGTAAATATTAATAAGAATATAATAATTTTCCTAAAAAATTATAAAAACTAAGTAAATATATATATATATATTTATAAGCAGGATATTTATTTATTTTTAAAATATCAGAATAAGACATCTAGTTATATTAAGACTGCTCTTTCTGAGTATTTAAAAAATAAATAAATATTATTATTTAATCAAATTATAAAATTATAATATTGTATTTCATGTAAATATTAGTGAATAAAAATAAATAAATAAATAAAATACTATATTTAAAGTATAGAATAATAAAAATAAAATTAATGCTATATGATATTTTATTATTAATATAATATAAAATAAAATAATAATAATGATC